CCCCCCCCCCCCCCCCCCCCCCCCCAATTAAATCCTAACTGTGGAAACGGTAACTCGTTTCTCCCCTGCCCTCAGCTACCCACTCCCCCTCATACTGCCAGGGGAGTAGGCGACCCATTCTCTCATGTTTATTATTATCCTCCTTTCCTGTAGGGGAGCAGGATAGAGGAATGACAGCAGCCTCCTGCCACATCCCTGAGATTGGGATCTCTACCTTTTTTATAAAGAAGTTTGAAAAGCAAAATAAAATGTAAGAGGAAACAATCCTCCAGTTTAATTTTTAATGTTTTGCTTGCAGAAGTTTGCAATCTACTCTGCAAGAATGAAATCAGCTGCCCCTGCTCCAGTTTTAGTTTGAAGATTACTGATCAACATTTCTCTCACTTGCAACTACTCCAACCTTACCTTTTTGGTTCTGAGTACTTGGGTCGGGTAGTGCAGTTGGCTGGCCAGCTGGTTTGTGAAGCCAACAGGGTGGGTTCAATTCCTACACCCGCTGAGGTTACCATGAAGGATTCTCCTTAACTTCTCCCCTCGCCTGAGGCGTGGTGACCCTCAGGGAAAAACCACCACCAGTCGTCCCTCTCTAATGAGAATGTAGCCCTATGTTCCTCTGACTTTACCACCCAAACCAAACTCTCAAATTTCATTTGAGGCAGTGTTTCCGCCAATAAGACTGTATGGCGATGTCTAAACAGATGCTCCAGGAAAACCAGACAGTTGTTTTTTTTCCCAAACTGTCCTGCGCAACAGACAAAACTGGCAGCTGCTAAAGAAACTTTACTGTTCTCTTAAATTTGTGCTGCCCTTCGTCTTATAGACGGAGGGATCACTATGGTTGTACAACACCTGAATGTAAATTTGCTTTATAAATTCTATTGGTTGTAAATAACTGGAAAAAAAGAATGTACGCTGTCTAGAATCAGCAATTGATTCTACAAACTGTCTGTTTTATTTTGTAAAGTGTTGCAATATATATATTATGTACATTTTCAAAACACATCCCCAAGTCTCGCTTTTGTTTTAAATGCCGTGTTTTGTTCCTGTAATGTTTCTACAGCGAACCCAGGTTACTTGTGTGTTTCTGTGTTTTTAAAAGCTCCTACATTGTACAATAATCTCGTTTATGAGTATTTAATGTGACATTGTTATTAGCTAACTATTGTTTTTCATCACTGAGCACATTTCTGAAGTGCCTTAGTCACATGGTTTAGCTGACTCATTCTGTAACCTGTCAAAATTTCTTTAATAAAAGACCATACATGTTCATGCCTTTTCAGTAATTTTTTTGTTTGTTTTTGATGCCAATGGTTGAGAGATCTGGGGGACTGATCAGAAGTCCAGTGTAGCTGTTCAAAAAACGAATTAAATAAAAATTTGGATTTGTACAGGACCATTCACATTCAGCACATCCCAGATACAAATACAGCTGTTTGAAGTGTGGTCCCTGTTGGAGCATAAGAAAATAGGGCAGCTAATCAGCACACAACAAGATCCAAAAAAGAGTTAGGTGATAAACAACCACATATTCTACTTTTAGAGATAACAAGGTGTAGAGCTGGATGAACACAGCAGGCCAAGCAGCATCATAGGAGCAGGAAGGCTGACGTTTCGGGCCTAGACCCT